ATAATCGATTCTTGGGATTTAAGAATCGATATCGTTCCGTAAAAATGAGAATCGATTAATATCGAGATTTTTTTACCCAGCCCTAGCTAGTAGTACTAATTACTAAGCTCAAATGAGTTAATGTGTGTTTCTTATACCAGTTAAAATAGTCATTTTCTTTATTATTTATTTTCATTTGTAATTCAGTGATTTTAACTTTTAATTTAGTTATTTTAATGCTTTAAAGAGCGAATTTAGAATGTAATGTTCTGCTAACTATAAAAGGTACAGCTGTAATAAAACCAGAGAGAAAGGCTGTATGGCTAGAAATGGTAAAAAAAATGTCAAATAATAGTATGTAAGAGTCAGAGCTTGATCTAGGCCTATGTTAAATTTGCTTTATGGAACCAAATCATTTGACAATGAGTCAGACTAACTGAAATAAGCCTGGCCTATTTGGTAAACTTGTTTTATGAAACAGGCCTTGAGGCATCAGAAGTGATCATATTTTTTCCACTGCATCGTATTGCATGGAATCGCATTGTGTTTAATCGAATCGAATCGCACTGCATCGTAATAGGGGTGAATCGTATCGCATTGCATCGGTAACTGCTTCATATGTATCTTTAATGTATCGTATCGTTGGCTATGCATTGAGATGCGCATCGCATCAGCCTCATTATGGAGATGCACATCCCTAATATACATATAAAATCACTGATAACCGATATGGTACCGATGGACAACAACGTTTCTCTGGAGCCGTTTCTGAATGCAGAGAAACTCAGTCATTCCGCTGCTCTTTTGGGAGTATCAGTCAAGTGATCTGGATGACATGCAGGGTTCTGGTAGGAACACAGCAAACATGGCTGATGTATCCGTGCCAGCTGTTGTTGTACAACCACAGGCTCAATCTTTCAGGGCTGCAGGACTTCTCCGGATTTGGTTATTTTGTGCATAAACCATGATTATGTAGCAGAGTAAAGAGAATTATTGATGTTCTTCATCGTCGCCATGGTACCCTGCTGCATGGGCTGCAAACTGGTAAAAGAAGTAAGCTGCCACCCTCTACTGGACACCAGCACAGGCTACAACCTGCTGTATCTATATGATGGTTTACGCATGTTATAACAACAATAATCTATAAACAGTAATACAGAAATGCAGACACTGCAGCATCTGAAGGTGAAATAGCAGTCTCATATTTTGGCTTTCCCAGGGCAATTCCTCCAAAAACAGGATTACCATTCAGTGTAAAGGCCCCCTGAAGAAACCACTGCTTCACTCACTCCCAATTGTCTGGCCCTCGACACCATGCCAATCTATTTTTTCATTCTGTGAGCGCTCCATTATACCCTTAATCCCAAACACAGAGGCACAGAGATCTCCCGACACTGTCACAGCACCCCACCTCCTGTCCCTACACAACAAGGCGCTATTCAGCATTCCCACCAATCCTTTTAGGCTTTCACTGAGCCTTGATACAGTTTATAATGAGAAATGTAAAATATGTGAAAGGGAAGAGCAATTCTGAGAAGACACTGAAGAAGCCGAACCTATTCACCTAGTCTGAAATACAGATAAATAAAGTTTTTTTCCCACTTGAAAAGATGAATGTCGAAAGTAGGATCGGGTACACTGGGCATTATGTACAAATGCGTCATTGCATCAGGTCTAGCACTGTCATGTTTTAGTTAAAAATAGTTATTCTGGTTCTGTCTGCACCCTGTCTACCTGTTTTTGAAAGGGACAACATTGTCCTACAAATGCCCTCTAATCCTTTCCAGAGTGTTGAGCTCTGTTACTGCCTCAGAACCAAAGTCACCATGTACAGCACTGACCTAAGCTGTCACACTCCTCTAACCTAGTGGTTCCCACCCTTTTTCTCAGGGGACACAAGTCATATGCTTCATGAGTCATGTGCTTCACAACAAGTCATATGCTTCACAACACCACCCCTACTTTAAAGCAAACTTATGTAGATCGGCTTTCAAAAACAGATTTACAGATGTATTTGAAGAAAGTTTGCTTATCGAATTAAATAACTTGCAAGTTCATCTTTACCGAGATCCCCATGCCGGCATTTTTTCACCATTGAATAAAGAGTGATTTTACCCATTGCTATATGAATATCATTGCAGACTGTCAATCATTTGTTTTCATCACAACTGAATGCTAAGAATTGTTATATTTAGTCATGATTTTTGCAGCTAGATGGAGCTCAACATAATGGAATAGAATGCAGTAGATTTTAAACTACTATTTAATTGAAACATCTTAAAAAAACAAAAACAAATGGGGCACTCATGCTAGAGAAATTGGGAAAATTAAAAAAGCAAGACCCGACCAAAAATCAACCTTTTCATCATCAATGTAAGACATCTGTTTATTAACATGGATTATTCGAACAAGTTTTACGAGTAAAATCGTTAGTTCCTCTAAAATCAAATACATTTTTGACTCCATAAAAATAAAATAAAACTACCATCCATTTACATACATAGTGTTATTATTAATAGTATTTTTATTTTATTTTATATATGATACTTTAAATATATTTAATTTAATACAAGTATAATAAACTATGCCTCATGTCATGAATATATATATATATATATATATATATATTTATATACATGTATTTATTAATATAATTTCCTACATTTAGAGAAGCAGCATGTTGCCAAAAGTGCAAACTCTAAAACTGGTCTTTCTCAGCATACAAAAGTGAAGAGATACTGATACTGCAGATTCACACACTCTTGCCTTCATGCTGAGTTTTTTTTCTTACGCTTCTGGCGCAGTTTCAATTAAGATCCAATTATGATATGTGACCCTTGACCACCAAACAAGTCTTTAG